CACTCGGCGGGGTCGCAGCTGCCTCTGGAAGGCACCGAGATGTACCTTTTTGCGCAAATGGTCAAATCAAGGTTTTGTAACGCGAGCTGTGCCACAGTGAAATGGAACTAGCCTGTGTTAGTGCCAGTGCGCGCCAGTCCGTGCCCAGTAAAAGAAAGAAAGAAAACAGACAACCCAAGGGAGGGATGGGAGAACGGCACGCCGCCACCACACAGGGATTTTAAGGAGAGGAGTGTGATGCGCTAGCCGTCGCCCACCCTAGGGAGTCTGCCTCTTCCTATCTCTCTTCGCAGTCTCTCGCCGCTTCTCGCTGCAACCTTCATGCCACCTCGCGGCCGTCCCACTCTCGTCGTTCTCTCCCTTGTCACTTCCTCCTCTGTCGCGTCGTTCTCTTCTGCCTCGTCCTGCGGCGCCGCCGCCTGCCGGTCCCTTGTTCTCGCGGCTTCTTTCGCCTTTCGGCGCAACTCCGTCCTCCTCGCGGCGTATCCTGGCCCCTCAAGTCTATCGAGCTCCCCTCGCGCAAGGACCACATTTCTGACTCCCACTCCGATCATTTGCCTACAGGTCATGTTGTTGCTCAGGTCCACTCTCTCTTCGAACACTCGTGCCTCTACGGATGATGCCGGCGCTGGGGTCCCCTTCGGATGCATCGTGACATCTGACAACTGAATTTCCACTGGTTCGTCCTCCTCTGAGTCATCTTCCCCGTCCTCCTTCCGCTCGGCTCTTCGCTCGGTACGTTCGGTGTGGCTCACCCTCCATGCCGAGAGAGATTTTTAGAAGCCAACAAGAAATGTGTCACACAGAGTGATTTGCGCTCGGCAGCTTGTCGACTACCAGCCGGAGCCGGAGTCGGAACCGTAGCCGAGATGGTCTTCGAGGGTGTCGAATATGTCATTCGCCTCGCTAGTGGAGCCGGTGCCGCATGAGTCGCGGTCGGAGGAGGAGTCGTCGGAGGAGCGGTCGGACCGCTCGCGCTTGTCGCGCCTGATGCGCTCTGCGAGGGGGCCGGGGTCGTGGTCGTCGTGCTCGAGCGTCGGGTAGGTAGCGCGCCTTGCGACCTTGTCGGCCGAGCTGCCATCCCAGTAGAAGGTATACCAGTCGCCGCGGGGGTAGAACCAAGCGTTGACCAATCTGTACCGTCCGAGAGCGGCCGCCTGAGCGGCCTGAGCAGCCGCCAGAGCAGCCGCGCGGGCAGCCGCGGCAGCGGCAGCCTCTCGAGCCGCCGCCTCGCGCTTGCCTTGTTTCTTCTCTTGCCGCGTGCGCGACGTCTGCTTCTTCTTCTTCTTCTTGGCGCCCGCAGAGTGGGGCTGGCTGGCCCGCCAGAGGTCGTGTGCTCTGGACGGCTGGGGCAGGGCGACTCACGGGGGGAGGAGGGGGACGAGGGCGGAGGCAGGCACAGCTGCTCTCCGGTGGCCTCGCGTTGGTGGCGGAACCCGATGGTTCCGTCGCAGCCGCGCACTGTGCCGTAAGGGTTGTAGATTTCGAGAGGGAAACGGGCCAACGCTTCCGAGAAGGGGAGAGGAAGACTTGTGGAGCGTAAACAGTAGATGAAATCGACGACGTAGCCGCCGCCGCGCCGCCGCCCGCCCTCGTGGCCGCCATAGACGCGGCTGTCCATGCCGTGAACAGGCGCTTTATCCACCCTATATTCTTCTCTCGTTCCTCTGCCCGTGCCTTGGTCTTGTCGTTGTTTCGCACCCATGTCTGTATGGCAATCGAGGCTGCCTTCCCCACTACCTGTAGTTCACCCGTGCCCAGTGTTGTGCGAGGGAGGAGTCGGAAAATACAACTGTACTCGAGGAAAGAAAGAAAAAAGTGCGCGCCACAAAGATTTTTTCTGCCGTGTCTCATTTTGCCTGTGTATCGAATCTGTGCATGACGGCCGCCCGCCTGCTGCGCTCGTGCGTTGAGACCCTCGTGGGCTTCGTGCTCTGGCCAGCATTCTTTTTGATTCTGCTTCCAGTCTACGTTCTCGCATTCTCGCCAGCTATCGCGCTCGGCCTCTGCAGCTCCGACTCTGCCGTCGGCGTGCCTCCCGCCCTCCTCGCCTGGCGTCGCCTTCCATATCTGATTCCGATGGTGCTCTTCGTCGACCTGCCAATCGCCATCTTATTCTTCGCGATACTGTATCTGATCGAGATTCTGTTCCTCCGGAATCCCCTCATCCTCGCCGTCTACAGCCTCTGCCGACGCGCCTCACAGCTCCCCTACCGCCAGCTGACGTCCCCCGACACCGAGTCCGGTCTTCTTCACGCTCGCGAACGGCCGCGCTCAAACACCAATGACGGCGCCCGCTACCGCGAGCACGCCTCCATCTGGGCTGCCCTCGAGGGCGACGGCGACAAGGTCCGGCCGGGCGATGTGCGGCTGATCAGTCTGAACTGGCTCATGGCGCGGGCAGAGCGGGGCGACGTGCTCCCGCGGCGGCAGGACCTGCCAGAGGAGGCCTTCTTAAGCTCTGCTCAGCTGAGGCGGATCGAGCAAGGCGCCAGGCGCGGCTTCGACCTCGCCGGATTTGAGGAGGCCACCGAGCGCCTCAGCAAGGAGCCCTCCCTCTCATCCTTTCTCGGCTGGTTCGCCAGCTTTGTCGTCCGCAAGCGCAACCCCGACGGGCTACTCCCGATCATCTCGCTCTCCTACTGCTGGCTCGAGGCGGCGCATCCGGATCGTGAGGGTCGCCAGCTCCAGCTGCTCTGCCGCAAGCTGCGGGGCCTCTACGGCGGGCGCGGCCTGCTCGGCGCGTGCCGCGACTACGGCTTCTCGGACATGGTGAGCTGCCTCCCGCGCCTTGCCCACCGCCACTCTCTTAATTCATCGCCACTCCCTTCCTGGCTCGCGCAGGGCGTGTTCCTGGACTGGGGCTCGGGCCACCAGAAGAACCCGGCGCTGTGGAAGGTGTGGATGTCACTGCCGGCGCTGTACTCGATGAGCGACGACGAGCTCCAGAGAGTGGACCACGAGCGGATCATCGCCGAGCGGCACTCGCACGAGGCTTTGGCGGAGGGCGCGCTGTACGCGATGAGCGAGGAGACGCTGCACAGCATGGCGGACGGCGAGAGGCTGGTCGCCGAGCGGCGCGCGTATGAGGCGAGCCGGTCGGGCGAGCAGAAGGCCGCCTTCGGTCGCATGCTGGAAAACACGATGGTGAGCACGCGCCAGCCCCTTTCCCCTGGCAGCACCACAACATGCACCGCTCTCACGGCACGCTGGCTTTACATCCCGCGTTAGGACCTCTGGTACGCGCACGCCTCGGTCACGGTCGTGCTGCTCACGCAGCTGCCGGACGAGCTGCCCGCCGGCTTTGACCGGAGCCGGACCTACGACACTCGCGGCTGGACGACATTCGAGCGCTGCTCCGCAGAGCTGGGCACAAAGCCCTCTACGCTGGGCTTTGCCAAGTGGAAGCTCGTCATCGACGTCGCCAGCGGCGACGGCGGCGCTCAGCGGCGGCTCCCCGTGACTCCAGAGCGCATGGCGAAGCTGCTCGCCGCTTGCCGCTTCACCAACGGCGCCGACTCGGCGGCCGTGCTCGCGCTCTACGAAAAGACGGCGAAGGCCGTGCTGGGCACGGTCGAGAAGCTCTACTACGTCGGATTGCCGCTCGTGCGTGGCGACGCGTGGACTAGCCCGGCGCTGCTGGCGGAGTCGCTAAACCATTGCGAGAGCCTCCGGTACCTCGGCCTACCTGGGACACGCCTCGACGACGAGGGCGTGGCGGAGCTTGCGGCGGGGCTCGAGGACGGCGCGCTCCCGGCGCTTGAGTCCCTCGAAGTAGCGGCAAACCGCTTCGGCGCGCGCGGTGTCGGCGCGCTCTGTGGCGTGTTCCATCGCGGCGTGGCGCCGACTCTGCAGATGCTCGGCGTCGCGTTCACGCCTATTGGCGACGAGGGAGCAGTGGCGCTAGCTGCGGCGCTGGCGATGGGGAAGCTGTCGCTTGCACTCCACTTGTTTTGCTGTGACGTGAGCGACGAGGGCGCTATGGCACTCGCGGCTGCCCTCCCGGCCGCGGGTCAGGGATGTCACGTGACCGCCTGGTTCAATCGGATCGGCCTCGCGGGCCAGGCGGCACTGCTGGAGGCGCTCGAGGCGAAGCACGGGCCGCAGCCGGGGCATGCAATGGCGGTGTGGCAGGTGAACTTGCTTCCCTGGTCGTACTCGCTCGTGCGCGCGTGGGGGCGAGGCTGGCGCCGTGTGCACGAGAGCGGCCAAGTCACCATATAAGGCACACCTTAGCTTTATGATTGAATGCTTTCAGTAAGGTGTACTGCAGGCCCATGTCTCAGGGTCCAGGACGCCCTGGCAATGTGAGAGTCTGTGGTGTTCTCACGTGTGGCTATAGAGGTGAGCGGTTTTCGTGGAGTTGAGGGACGAAATCCAAAATCGGGAGAGACGGGAGGACCCCGTATGGCCGTAAGCATCCATCTCAGGGCGCCACGGGCTAGCGCTGTGCTTCGAAAACGGCCGGTTGCGTGCACGGCCGGATGAGGCTGCGTCGCAGCCTCGAGGTCGCAGCGGCCAGCGCATCGAGAAGAGGTTCATATAACCCGCTCCTGGTCCTACACCACTGACTGGGTCGGTGTGGACACGTCCCTCGCTTCGACGGCGAGCTCTGGGACCCTTCTCTTGGGATAAAAAAGTCTAATGTGTACTTCACCGCGAAACTCGGCCGTCCCTACTATCCAACCTTTTACGATGCCGATCGTGCTCGCGTTGCCCGCTGTCTTCTTCGTCGGGAGTGCGGTCGGCGCTGGTTTCGGCTCGGCGCTCGGTGTCGCCACGGGCGCGGCAGTGCTGCGCCGTCAGGGCCTCTTCTCGCCAGGATCAGTGCCCCCATCGCAGCACCGCACAAAGGAGGCGGCGCTCGTGATGGCGTGAAGCAAGGGCTCACCAAAAAATGGGCGTGGGAATACACACACACCAGCTGTAAGCACATGTTGCTCGCAGCGGCGGGGCTGCAGGTGCAGGAAGAGTGAGGAGTGTGCGCCGCCAGCGCAACACCGCACACGCACATACGGCTCTATGCCACATCAAAGACACACACGAGAAAACAAAAGGCTTTGTCCACGTTTAAACTTTGTGAATGGCCCTCGGCCTCGTGTTTTCCTCTCTCTTCCTCTTTCACTCACAGAACTTGTTGAAAAATATCGCCCGATGCTCCCGAGCTGCGGTGCTGCGCCCTCCTCTCCCCCCTCACTCGACCTCACCCCAGCATCCCGGGCCACGAGCGCTCAAGCTCGGCGATGCGGTCCGCCTGCTGCTGGATGAGAGCCTTCGCGTCGGCCAGCTGCAGGCGCAACTGCTCGAGGCCGAGCTCGCTCCTTCTCGGCTTGCTGCTGCCTTCGGCGCGCCCCAGCCGCGCCGGCCGCGCCGCACTGCTGTTGCCCTCCTCGCCCTGCCCCCCGTGGCGCTGGCCGCGGCGGCCCGGCTGCCCCTCCCTCGCGCCCTGCGCAGCGGCGCCGTGCCTCGGCAGCCGCGACGACGCGGGGGCGCGGGAGCGCTCCCATCTCGGTGCAGCGCCGCTGCAGCGGCGTCGGCGCCATGCCGGCGCAGTTTGAGGTGTAGCCCGGGATGGCATCCGCGTCGCAGCTGCCCCCGGCCCCGCCGCCAGGCGACCACACCCTCGTGTCGCTGGCTCGCGACGGGAATGAGAGGCAGAAGGAGCGTGCGGCGGGCGTGCTGAGGAACCTCTCTGACAACGACGACAACAGCGTGGCTATCGCAGCGGCTGGCGGTGTGGAGGTCCTTATTTCGCTGGCTCGCGATGGGAATGAGAGGCAGAAGGGGCGTGCGGCGGCAGTGCTAGCAAACCTCGCTGACAACGACGACCACAAGGTGGCAATTGCTGCGGCCGGCGGGGTCGAGGTTCGTGTCGCTGGCTCGTGACGGGAATGAGAGGCAGAAGGAGCGTGCGGCGGGCGTGCTGAGGAACCTCTCTGACAACGACGACAACAGCGTGGCTATCGCAGCGGCTGGCGGTGTGGAGGTCTTTATTTCGCTGGCTCGCGATGGGACTGAGAGGCAGAAGGAGGAAGCGGCGGGAGCGCTGTGCAACATGATTGCGGCAGCACCTGGCACGCACGAGGGCGTCGTCGAGGCTGGCGGTGTGGCGGTCCTCTCCTCGCTCACGCAGCAGGCAAGCGCTTCGGACCTCTGCAAGCTCGCTGCTGCCATGTCCCTTGTGCACCTGGCCAGCAGCTGTCCCGACCTCCCCGCTGACGACACTTGCCTCTCTCGCTGCTGCTCTCGCGGCTGGACCAGCCCGAGGAAAATGGCTGGCGCAGAGACTGTCTGAAGAGGTGTGGACGCTCCGCGAGCCGCTCTCTGCAATGTCCAACTCTTCTCTCGTGCTGACGGCGCACGAGGCCGGCGTCGGTCTAGTGGCGGCTCGACAGCCGCCGCTGCAGCCTCGATGGCGCTCGCGGAGTCGGACGCGGCCGCCACCGTCTGTTGGTGCCCCTGCTGGGCAAAGGCGGGCGGGCCTCCGCGTCGCCGATTCTGGTCGCCCGCTCCTGCGCGTTAGTCGGGTGCATCGACGTGTAGAACTTGTTCCAGCTTTGCATCTCGAGCGTCCCGCACCGCACGCCAGCCGACGGATGGAGCCGCCAATGCCGAGGCAGCGAATACGCTCGCGTTTGTCGTCCTTGTAGGGATACCCATCACTGAGCCGACAATGCTACGGGTAGCCCCAGGGTGGCGCCCACCCCCATAAATACCCTCGGGCACTTGCCTGCGCCCTCACGCGCTTCGCGCTAGCCCACGCCCTTACACGCCCTGCCCCGCAATATCTCACTCCATCCCGGCCTGCGGCATACCTCGGCACACCCTTGCACGGAATCTGAGCGTGAGGGAATCTGAGCGTGAGGGAATCTGAGCGTGAGGGAATCTGAGCGTGAGGGAACCTGGGCAGTGCCGCGTAGTGCGGCGTGCGCGGGCGTGCGCGGGCGTGCGCGGGCGTGCGCGGGCGTGCGCGGGCGTGCGCGGGCGTGCGCGGGCGGGCGCGTAGTGCTGCGTAGTGCCGCGTAGTGCCGCGTGCGCGCACGTGCGCGCACGTGCGCGCACGTGCGCACGCGTGCGCGCGCGCGCGTGCGCGGCGTGCGCGGCCAGGGCGCAGGCAAGTGCCTGAGGGTATGGGGGTGGGCGCCACCCTGGGGCTACCCATAGCATCGTCGGCTCAGTGATGCGTATCCTAGAAGGCGCACGCGCGGATGGGGCAGAGGATCTTTTTGCACTCGTCGCACACCGTGGCGTGCCAGATCGACTTGACGAGGCCGCGGCAGCCCTCCTTCCCGCCGTGGTGGTAGACGAGAGACCACGTCTCCATGGTGACTCCGTCGACGCCCGCCGCTCGCTGCCGTGGCGGGTTGAGGAACACTTTGTCGATGTACTTGTCGCTCGGAGCAAAGGTCTTGACTCCGGGCACCCGCTTGAGCAGCTCCGGGTCGAGCGGCTCTTTGGGCTGCTGAAGCGTGTCAGCGTACTTTTTCTGATTCTCGGGTTTGGAGGGGTCGACGACATCGGCGGGCTGCAGCTCCTGGAGGCCCTTCTTGGCCTCGCCGAGCCGCGTCCGGTGTCGAGGACCGGGCGCGCCCCCTACCCGGCGCGGCGTAGGTCCCACTCTGACGCAAAGAGGGGAGGCACGGACTATAGCCCAATCCATCAACTACGTTCATCTTCTGGTGCTTAGCCCCGTGCAACAGCGGTCCGGCAGGCTGCCCCCAAGGCCCCCCGGGCCGCTGCGGGTTTGGGAGTTATGCTTAGGCACAGCTTCGGCGACGGCAGCCCCTCTCTGGGGTGTTGCATAGGCGGGGAGTCTCCCCCGCTGGTCTCCTCCTTCCCATTTTTTTCTTTTGAGAGCAGGACGCCGGGTTTGTCTTGTATGTGCGTGTCGGGCCGGGGTGTGAGCGAGGGGCAGAAGGGGCGGGGGCGTGCGGGGCAGAGGCCCAACGTCGGGCGGCTTGTCGGGGTCCGGAGAATTCGAGGGGGGAACGAGGAGGGGGGGATGGGCGGTCGGCGTCGGGGTAGAAGCAACAGGGCGTACGGGGTAGCCGTCACTTTCCTGCCTCAAAAGGGCGGGGCTGTCCCGGAAAGTGAGAGACGCCGGGCAGCGTGGCGCACAACTGAACCCTCCCATACGTGTTTGTGCTCCTCCTTTGCTGTCCCATCCCCTCATCTCTTTCCCGCCTGGGCGGGGCAGTGGGCGGGCGCGCGGTGCGGCGCGGCGTGTGCGTGTGTGCGACTGCAACGAAGGACCGCTCGCAAGGGACATTGGGTTTGTACTATTAACTTCGCTCTCAAGAACTAACTCTCTCTCACAGCAGAAGAATTCTACAATACAAGCCCCTCTCACAGCAGACTGGCACGAACTAGCACCACAAAAGGCACGGCAGACAACGGCCCCTTATGGGCCGTCGAAGAGGCCGTCATACTCCTCCGGCCTCGCCCCCCCTTCCCAACCCTCCCCTGGCTCAGGCTCCTCATCCTCGCGGCGCGCAGTGCGCACCCCGCCCCGCGAAGACGAACCCTTCCGCCGGCGTGCCTCGCGGGACTGCCGCCCGCTGCCGCCGCCCTTCCCCCCCTCCGCTGCCCGCGCCGCCTTCTCCGCCGCCCGCGCGCGCGGCCGCCTTCGCCTCCTCCGCCGCTAACAGCGCCTCCCTCCGCGTGACCCCTATGGGCCCCTTGCGCATCCAGGAGAGGTCGCGCGAGCGACCTATCCAGGGGTTACTCGGATACGGCGCAACGTAGCCGCTGCGCAGCTCCGAGTAGTCGCCAACGCCCCAACCAGCAGAAGAAAATACGTCATATCACACTAATCACAGCGACAGTGGCGCGGCAGCGAGCGCGGGCTGGGCAGATGGCCCACGAGCGCCCCTCGCTCTCGCACCTCGCCGACAAGTTCAACACAGAGGCGCCACCGGGCTACGTGGCGGGCCGGGGCCGCGGCGCGTCCGGCTTTTCGCGTCCGCCGCCCGAGCCGCCCCGCGGGCGAGGCCGCCGTGGCGGCGCCGGGCCGTCGAGCGAGGGCGGCGGCGAGGAGGGCGAGGAGGGCGGCGACGCGGCCAACGGCGCGGAGAGCGGCGGCTTCGACGCGGACGGTAAGCTCTCGGGCGATGCGGGCGACACGCGCGACCTCGACCTCGGCGGGACGGAGCGGTTTGAGGTGGAGCGCACGTCGATGAGCCAGGCGGAGGCGGGGTACGCGATCGAGCCGTTCAACATGAAGCAGGAGCGCGCGGAGGGGCACTTTGACGACGACTTCAACTACGTGTGGAAGCGGCGCGGCGACGAGGCGGACGAGACCAACGACGCGTGGCTGGGCGAGGCGACTTCCGAGATCACCCGAGATCGCCCGAGACCACCCGAGATCACCCGAGATCGCCCGAGACCACCCGAGCCTCTTGCACCGCCCTCTTCCACCGCCCCACACACCCTGGCCACACACACCCTCGCCACACCTCGCCAAGGCCGCTGCCGTCTCGCCAGCCACCCGCCGCGACTGGCAAAGCGGTGCCGTGCCTTGCCTTCGCGCCTGCCCTCCCTCCCTCCCTCCCTCCTTCCCTCGATGGTGAGGTGCGGCGGAGGTGCAGCCGAGAGACAGCCACCCCCTCCCGTACCCCACGGTACCCGAACCCACCCTCCCCTACCCCACGGTACCCGAACCCACCCTCCCGTACCCCACGGTACCCGAACCCACCCTCCCCTACCCCACGGTACCCGAACCCACCCTCCCCTACCCCACAATACCCGAACCCACCCTAGGTGGACGAGTCCAAGGAGGCGGACGAGAAGGTTGCGAAGCGGCAAACACGCATCTCGAGGCCGATGTGGCGAGATCTCGGGAGATATGGGCCTGCACTCCGCACCTAGGCGAAAGCTGATCGCAGCGCAGATCGAGCAGATCGGGACCCAGGACGAGGTGCCCGGGATGGGGGGGGGGGGGGGGGAGACAGCCCCCCACACAGCGGGTGACAGACCGACAGGCGGACAGCTGAGCGGGTAAGAGACTACCCCGTTCCTCACCCCTCCCCGCCTTTCCTCACCCCGCCCGCCGCAGGGTGGGAGGGAGGAGCCTCACCTCACCTCCCCCCTCCCCGCCTCTGCCCGCCGCAGGCGGCGGCAGACG